AAGAGTGTCCCACAAGAGTGTCATTTGGACATATTAGTTTTTGACGAACATGTTTGCATTCGGGTTCGTGGGTTCCATCTTGTTTTTATATGGGATTTTTTATTTGAGAATTGTATGTATGCCATGTTGCTTGTAAACGTCTGCTCGCTGTTCTTCAGAATCCTGACAAAGCAATCCACATTTCCAATTTGCATTTGCACATCACACATCATCTTGGGCCTGATGGTAGTTGAAGGTTGCTTGGAGACCAAATGAATCAGCCAAAGCAATTGATGATTCATCAGCCCGCCATTGCAAGGAAACGAAATCTGCCCCGCCCGCCAAGTGGAAATGAACCTTAAACCAGCCGCCAACAAGCACATGTCGTCCAATGATGGTTTTCAAGCTGAACGATCAAATCCACTTTCCAAGTCGCATCTGGGTTGTTCGCTTGCCCTTCACCCGGCCAAAAAAGAAATTGGAAAGCCAGGTTCAGGATGGGCTCGCGCATCCTGAGAGGTCTCCAACAAACTGCTCTGCAGGTTGATCAATGTTTCATCTTTTCCAAGAATCATTGGTGTCAAAAGGCCACCAAACGCACAGAGTTGTTGAAGCTGGAAAATGTCCACATCCTGCAACAGTGAAATTGAGATCGGGCTGAAAAGCCTCATAAAGCAGTGCCAACATGTGATCTGATTTTCTTGCAACCTTCCACTTTCCAAGCTCTGTCTTGACCGGAAAAAGTTCCGAGCCGTGAGCCACACGAAGTGTTCGAGTCCTCTGGCAAGTCGATTTGCATGGCGCCCTCTGACAGCAGAATCAGCATGGCCGAGGAGTCGAACCTGACACCTTGCTCACTCCAAGAATGGACATGTTGACAAGAAGATTTCCAAACAACTTCCGATACTTCAAAAAAGCCATGGTCAAACCAGGCACGCTGAACGTGCTTGGCATGTTCCGCATTGATCTGAACCTGGTCAAGGTGGCAATCAAGTTAGTTGTCGGGACAGGCAGCTGTGAATGAACATATTAAGACACAAAATGAAGATATGTCAGTTCAGTTTAACAGAACCTGCACATTTTGCACACCTTCAGAGCGCCATCGACCTCAAAGAAGATCTCATCACCTCCCAGGTCTTTGAAGCGCAAGCTGCTCTTGAAGTGACGAGACGCTTCCAAGAGCGCTTGGACCTGGACAAACTTTTGGGTCAACGAGAGTGGAACCGGTCACTTTTTGCTGCAAAAAAAAAGACAATAGCAACGGCCTCCAACCAAATAGCTTCTGCTAGCGATGGCCTCCAATTTCATCCTTTTGCACCAACAATCTGCTGAATGCAAAATCTCCTTTCTGCTTCCACCCTGCCCCAACTCCACCCAGACCCCACTGCACTCACTCCACGCGGCCTCGTCGGGAAAATTCGCTCCAGCTGTTGGTGTGCGACCTGTTCGAAATCATTTGCACCGGAGGCTCAAATGTGAACAAGGATGCTACTAGGGGCTCCTGGCATCGCTACTAGGAGCAAGAACGCTGCTACGGGCTCACCTGCAGTGCTGTCAGTTTTTCCGTGTCTGCGACCAAGAATCGGAGCCAGGTACGAAAGCCATGCAGCGGCAAAGTGGCCTAGGATGTGGACTGCATCTTCTGCTGTGATCTTGGAGGTCATCTTCTGCTGTGATAAAAAACGCTCTTTTGTCTTTCATCAGCGTGAGCGCCAACGAAATAGCTACGCATCCAAGGTGCCAAGAGCTCTTTGGAGTTTGACTCTTCCCGCAACCGCGCCTTTGATTGCCGCCTAAGCACCCCAGCCAGCTTGCAAAAGGTTCAACTGCCCCACGTTTCCCTGCTCCCTCCCACAAATCCATCAGCAAAAGGGGGTGTCACCGTGAGTGCGCAGGACCTGTCTGTCTGGATCTGCTTCAGCAGCTCAGGCAGATTTGTTCCTCAACATCCAATTCGTTCAAGAGCTGGACACTTCTGACTTCTGCTTCCTCTGGCCGCAACCATCTATCCCAACCAATTGCCTGGACCACTCCAAGTCGCAGGAGGAGACGCTCCAAGCCCAAACCCTTGAACGCATCACCGCAAACGCTGGGCCCCGCCCAGATCCGCGGAGCAGTTCTATCGCCCTCAAACTCGGCGTGCAGGGCCGCCAGCGGCAAAGGTGTGCCAGCCTAATGCAAAGCAAAACGTCAGGTGGACGGTTTGGCTGAGGTTGGAGGCCATCGCAATCAGGTGGACGGTTTGGCTGAAGCAAAAGCGACGTCCGTTGTTTTCTCTCCCTCTTGCGACGTCCTTTCGCTCAGGCGAGTGCCTCGGCCATTTGAGGCAACGAAATGGCAAAGCACCGCGTCTTTGGCGGTGAAGGACTGCCCTTTGCAATCGATGCGACAGCTTGGCGGACCTGCAGCGCAAAGAACTCGAAAAAGAAAGCAGTTCGATCTTGGACGGACCTCTCCCTCGCTACTCCAAGAACGGTGCTTCTTACAAGTAAAATTCATGGGTCTAAAAGCACAAGTTTTCATCTTGTATTCACATTGCTTAAATTCCTGTCTCATGTTTTATTTCGGTATTCTTGAGCTTAAAACTTTGTTGCTTCAACCCGTTCCAGTCAGATGGCCTCCTCCGAAGCTTCGGAAGTCACCTCGTAGGTCCTCAAGAAGCCTGGCAACAAAGCTGGTACACTCGGCATGCATGATGCCAATGACAAAAAGACAAACAATCAGGTAAAAGGTTAATTTGCTAATAGGTTGGAGCCCATCGGTTCTAGGTTGGAGGCCATTGCTATGAGGTGGGAGGACATAGCTAGTAGGTTGGAGGCCATCGAAATTAGGTTGGAGGCCATTGCTATTTCGATACCTAATTTTGAGACTGACAGACCATCAGGATTTTTGCAAACGAACCAACCACCAACGGCCATGTGTACCGTGTGTCATCGTGTCAAGGAGAAGCCAAGACAACCATAAGCAAAAAACAACAGCCCATGGGACCGAACATGCCCTGCGTATAGAGCGGCACCTTCATGAAACCAAAGGCCTAAGACTCGATGCAATCCTCGGATTTTTTCGAATCAGCAAACAAAATCCGAAAATCTTGAGATCTGGAGAAGCAAATGAGATCGAGACGAAGCCAAAAAAGCTTCGTCATGCATTCTCTGCTACAGGCTTCCAGAGTAAGAATAGACAAGTAGATATATGCGCGAAGTAACAAAACGACAGGAACAAGAAGCTACTAGAGGCTCCTGGCCTTACTAGGGGATGCACGAAATGTGTTCCGTCACTCTTCGTCACTTCGTCCAAGGCACGTCGTTCCAAACGCTCGGCCGCCAAGCGCGCCTCAGGACCCACCAGCTGGTGCCGGGTCACCGCCACAAGTGCCTCGCGCCAGCGCAGCGCGGTGCAAAGACCTGCGCGGCAGCACCGCACGGCGAAGGGAGTCTTTGCCCTTTGCTCGTAGTGGCATCCTTGCTCCCAGTAGCGATGCCCTTTGCTCCTAGTAGCGTAATTTCTTTTCCTTCAACTGCTAGGCGAACATGCAGGGGGGTTCTGAAAGTGTTGGTAGAAAGAGTTGCTCTGGTTGCTCAACATCATCATCCTGTTCAATTAGCTGTGGCCAGAGTGCCAAATCCTTTCTGTTGTAGCTTTCACCCCACAGCCTTCTCGAGCACCCAAGAAGGCAGGCAAGACCCGCACCACCTGGAAGGCTTGATGCCGTTGTGGCTCAAAGAGATTGTTCAGACTTCGGTAACGATGAAACAATATGATCACATTTTCAGCTCAAAAGGTCAACGAACAATAAACAAATGAAGTACACATGTTTTAGCCTCACTCGTTTATGTCTTATTCCTCGTTCTTAATTCCAC